GCAAGACTTCTGCTCTAATGGAAAAAGAACATTCCTGAAGGAAGATTTTCAGGTGAATAATTCGAACCACCCAGATAAACAACGTACACGTGTAAAGCATTAGCAAGTGCAAATGCCGGCAGATGCAGGATTTACACTGTTAAAATCAGTCAGGTTCAGGATTAATTGGAATAGCAACCAGCCTTCTGGCTAGATTGCACAGAGAAGCGGTGTTGCGTATGTGTTAATTTTCACTGACTCCTTTGGTAAGTTTGCTGTCTCATTACGTGATCTTTTTAAAAAATGCGATTACAGTTGATAAGCTGCAGGAAAGAATCCTTTTATTACCCTCAACTTTCTCAACCCTGTTGAGCACAATGATTTAGCACACGCCAAGTCTGAAGCCTGTGAAGTCCTGCAGTAAGAACATTTACAGCCTCAAATTAAGTGTGAGCCTAAGTGCTCTGCTAGACCTGTACCAGAACAGCCAGTAATTTGCAAGTAAAACCCTACGGCAAAGCCTGAGAAAAATTTAGTTTGCAATAAAGCAAAAGCCCCCCGAGCTGAAGGAATCAACTATTCCCTTGGAATAGTCAGAGAGGGATATTCAGGGCTGCACCCTCTGTTCCTTGCCTGACCCACAGCCCACCTCTGTGCAAACAGGGCATCTCCCAGAAGCACAGGCAGCAGTCCTTGGCAGAGCCCAACCAGGCAAAGTTAAAGTGCAGTTTCCCAGTGCACCTTCCCCAAAAAATCCAGTTATCAGAATGAGAACGGCACCTTGCATCTCCATCCCAGACCTGGGATCAACATCGGCAAAATTTGCACCTCAAAGCAACAAGCTGCAAGAAAGAGATGGGAGCCAGAATTGCATCTTCTTGTGGCACGACCATCTCTCCCAATTTAGGTAATGCTGGTTTGTAATTGAACCAGTAAACAAGTAAGTGAAAAAAAAAATAAATTAAAAAATCAGGCTGTAGTTAGTTACATGTCAAAAATTTTCAGCTTTATTGCACATATTGCTCTCTCCCTGTCAGCTCTGTATATTCCTCAACTAACCCCCCTCTCACAGAGCTGGACCAAGGGCTCTCAGCTGCCTGCACTGAACCACTCCAAGGGTTTGGCTGGGACTGCACGAATCAAATGAGGTGGGTACCTCATCCCCCACTTCAGCTCCTCAGCATCCTTCCAACTTCTGATGGGGATACACATCCTCTGGCTTCTTATCCTGAGGACTGGGATACTGTCTAGAGCCTAATGACCCTTCAGCTTTACCATTCATGCTGCAAAATCCTCTTGTCATCCTGCAATATGAAAGGCGTGCCCCAGCTCTGGGGGTCTCAGTAGTGCAAAGCAATTCTTGGAGACTCACCACTCTCCGTGCACAGGGCTATGACGAGCACGACAAGAAGAGAAGTCTTCATCCTTTATAGGTCTCACAGCCTCCAAAACAAGCAGGACTCACCCAGGGCAGGTTTTATACCTCTGCAGTGTTTGCTTTGATGCTAGGATAATAACTATAGCGTTGCTGTGTCAGATGATGGATGATTGAGAGTAACGTGTCAGCGCTTGTATGTGGAAGTATGCTTTGCTGGAAATCTCAATAAGCATATATTCTCCCCCCACTTCTTCTTTTTCTAGTTGTTTCACAATGCAGCTTGCTCATCTAGTGTTAAGTATGCAACAGTTTCTAATTCTGGATAAGTGGAGGAAAAGCAAATCACAAAAACAAACCAGTGTCCACATGAGAAGAGGAACGTTTTCCTTTCCAGGCCAGCTTGGGTCTCAGAGCAGGCTGCATCCTTAAAGATCGTCTCCTCGCGCACTGTTTTAGTGCATATGGAAATTGATTGAATTTAAAATTGAAATTGGGATTGAAACTTCTATGAAATGTCTCCCAGGATTGTCAATACAGCTAGATCAGAAGAGCAGTATCCTTCCACTGCATTTCATAGGGGACCAGACATAATTTTCTGTGGGCCTTTTTAAGACGGCAGTTCAAAATCATAAATGTTTCTGTTAAAAAATTGGATATTTTGTATGAGGGAAAATGTTATCTTATTAGAAAATAAATTCCAATGGGCAATGAAAATGACCACTTAAATTAAAAAATAGAAATAACACCCACTCCTATCACATTGAACAAGCTGTGACTTTTTTTCACAAAGCACAAAAAATAAATGTCAGGGAGAAAAAAAACAAACCAGTTAAAGCATGGAGAATGAGGGATTGCCTGATCAAGGATCTCAACTCATTAAGTCTTCGGAAAAAAAAAATTGTAGCCAAAAATTATGTGAAATGCCAAATCGGAGTACTCCACTGGATTTCCATACGGTGCTCTTTATTCCTCCTTTTTTATCATGTTTCATCCTATCTCCCTGTATAAAATGAGAATATTTCCCACCTTCTTCTGAGTGCTGTTGCTTTTTCCTCCCACCGTTGTCTTTTTGCCATCTAGTCGTGGGGATGGAGGCACAGTCCCAGAAATGGTCCAGCTGGATCCCTTTCACATGACACTCAGAGCTGCAGGAGCAACCTGCATGCCCCAAGCTTCTGCCAGTGACTCTGCCCCTTGCTGCTCTCCATCTGTTTTATTTCCCTTTTTTCTTCGTCTCAAAGTTGCTCAGATTTCCATCTCCCATTAAATATTTGGGCTTCCAATATGACCCACCTACAGTCATTATCTCACCAAAAAGGCATGCCTAGTTCTTGAGGTGATGTAAGTCTTTCCAACACCTCTAAATTGGACATATAAATATTGTTCATATGGAGACCTGCATGACTAAGGTGAGGAAATTTCTGCTTTCTCAATAGGTAGAGCATGAAACTCAGTGGGAGCAGAGGTGGCAATTAACCAAGAAAGCTCAAAGGAGGGGTGTTGTTTGGCTTCGTAAGACCAATGCCTTTGTAAGACACCAGGCAGGAGGAAAACAGAAGCTGGCACCCTCCATGCCAGGCAGTGCAACCCTCTGTTCTTTGTGAAATATTTTATTTTCCCCAGTTCAGAAGATATTTCATGAGTCTTTATTGGTAAATCAACTTTTATGGCTGACTATTTGAGGTAATAGCAGAAAGGGGGGCTCTAGTCACAAGGCGATGTCATTCTACAGCCTGTACGTTGCGCTGCAGAGACAGCCCACATTCAGATTTATTTCAGCCAACAGCATCCATTAGCAGGTACAGAAATAGCAGCTCAGCCAGGCACTTTTTTTTTTTTCCCCCCTCCCTTGTAGTCTCATCCAAGCAAAAACTAAAATATCTCTTGTCTCCTGCAAGCTGCCGAGATTTTGAGATGGCAAGGCTGTATTTCTTAAAGGAGTTATTACAGGATTTCTGACAGTCGAGATTTTCCATTAGATGGTCCTGCACTCTTCCAACTGGTCCCATATGTCCCCCTGATATTAATGTTATCTTCATCCTTCACCAGTGCCAGGTGAGATAGATTGAAAAGAACCCATGGGGGTAGAAAAGACACAGATGATTAGGACACCAGGGGGACCAAGGCAATGGAGAAGGTAATATCACAGTTTACAAGTATTTGGAAGCTATAAACTTCAAGAAGATTTTGAAAAGAGTAACAGGGGTGGAGGATGGGGTGGAAAGACTTATTTCCCTTGACACAGTTGCTGAGTGGAGAAGGGAGAGTGCTTTGCTCATCTTGTTCTAAACCTGGTTGAAATAGTCATGTGAGAAGGGCAAACGATTCCTTTATCTTGGTGAAAATGCGTAGTTGTCATGAAACAAAAGCTGAAATTTAAAAGGAACTGTGAAACTCAGATGTTTTCACTAATTGTGGATTTTCAAGTTGGCCAAAAGCTTTGAGAATCATTTCAGAAATTATTGTGATTAACATATAGGAAAAGCGATGGGAAAAGTGGTTAAAAAGAAGGGCAAAAAACCAAATGCTACAACACTACCATTCTTCAGTTAGCCCATCTCATATTTAAATAAATGCCAGAACACCCTCCTTGCTCAGAAATTACATTTTTATAGGATGACTAAACCTAATCCCATCTTCACAGCCTTCAGCCAGCGCTGCAGTTTCTTCCCGTTGTACAGAAACACGTGCACTTTGCAGCCTTTCTTGAGCCCTGGTGGAGCAGCACTCCCCTCAAATTCATTTGGGCTGCAAATGTCAGGGCTTTTTTCTAGGTACTGCTTTTATACAAGCCCTCCTGAAATGCAGCACTGCACTTATAAATTGCTCAGCTGGGACTTACGCACCCTCCACCTCCAAAAGTGCATGTATTTTTGCCCATCTTAGCTATAGTTCTGCTCCTCCGAGAGCTGAAGGAGATCTCCACCCCATCTCCTCCATCCTCAAACGTGGAAATGGAGCAGCGACAGAGGAAAGGGAAGGATCAGACACCCGTTGCCTTTGCCAGGCTCTTTCTGCCCATTTTGTCATGAGCCATCGCTCAGACAGCAGCACCTTCTCCAAGCAGGCATGGAGGTCCCCTTTCCATCAGGACAGATTCCAGCAGTACCATCCTCATCTTGGACATCTTCAGCATCTTGGTGTGGGCCCTTTACCTATTTTAAAAGCTGAAACCATCCACCCTGCAGAGATCACATGAGAACTTTGCAGCACAGCCAGGGGCACCACAAATACCTGGCAAACCCCCAGTCATGTGCATTAGCAGTTACAAGACAATTCTTGCTGTTGCTTGCAATGAGAACAACACAAACATCTTTGGCCTTTCCAGATTGACACCTTCATTCGTTAGGACTGAGTGATCAGGCAGAACATCTGGCTCTGTGGAGTGTCTGTCTTGAGCTGCGGGATGCAACTGAGTCAATTGGGAAAGGCAGCCAGCAGAAGATTCTCAGGTGCTAAAAAGAGGAGGAATTCAATGTGAAGTAGAGATTCAGACTACAGCCCTTTCTGGCAGAGCTGTTTTCTCAGGCTGATCTTAGTGTGGATATAGCAAACACACTCTAGAATAACATAAATCTTTATTTTGTCTGACAATTGTCACACACATGCTATCAAAAGAGCTTTCCCAGGGAAAATCAGTACAAAACAACAAATGATACAGGGGAAAAGATAGGAGCTACACTGCCATGCCATTTTGTGGATGGGGTCTGAAACAGTGTCTTGGAAAAAATCGGGGTAGCATAGACACTGTTGGAGACACTTGACAGAGGGTGTTGGTTTCTCAGCTGGGGAATACCTTGTAGGTTCTTGGGTTGTCACATCTTCTCCCACCCCTCATCACAATCCTGCCCTGATGACACAGATCAAACTGGCCACAATTCCCAGGAACATCACAGCGTAGCTGATTTTTATGCTGTTGGCACCACTGAAGTTGCACAGGGAGGTGCTACAGCATTTGGTGGAATAAGCCGCCATACCGAAGTCCACGTTCGTCTCAGGACAGTCTACGGAACATTTCTTGGTGATGCGGTGTCCTATGTCCTTGCCTGGATGGAGAATAGACAAGAAAGGAGAGCTGTGATTTAAGATTCTCCTGCAAGAGCTGACCAGAGGACGGTAGGAGGAGGTATATTGCACTATGCTTAATTTGCAATGCAGCGATAACAGCCATCAGTGGATTTGATGAGTGCTGGGTGAGGGTCCACATGATCTGTATCAAATGCATGACACTAGAAAGTCCTTGGTAGAAACCCACACCATGTTTCATGTAGGACAGCAAAAAACCACTGCCAATGCATTTTCGGTTTCTAAAACCACATTACTTACATCCAACCCCTTTCCGCCTTCCATCAGGAAGTGTGTGTGTATGAGCTCTCAGATGAAGAAACAGGGTCTGCTCATGAAAATCTGTGTGCTCCAGCCAGCCCTCCCACAAAGTGGTGAGGAACATACCCCAGGTGGTGGATCACAGAGCACCACTGAGGGATTCACACACGTTATGTGTTGTGATCCTTAAACCTCAGTTCTTTCCGACAAGACCAACTACTGCCCTAAAAAAACTCTTGCTCATTAGTGTCTCTGGAGGAAAAAAAAAAAAAAAAAGCCTTGACATGTTGCTGGTACTCACCAAACCCAGCAGAGCTGTATGTGGTTAGACAGTATTTCTCATGGTCTTCACACTTATAGGTTTTAAGACAGTTCCAGTTGGAGTGTTCATTGTCGCATGTGTAGCAAAACAGCGAGGAAGCTGAAAAGAGCGCACATGACACATATTAGTAGTTTCCAGCAATGCCCTCCTGGGAAGAAAGTGTCAAAAGCCATGTCCGCTCTTGGAAAATACAAGGTGACAAGTATGTTACAAACAAGTTTTCATGACAAGTGAAATTAGGATTTCATTTTGATTAATGAAGCTGCAAAAGCAAACAAACAGAACAAACCAAGTTTTCTTTCTTTACTTCAGATTTTTGGTGATTAAACCTGAAAACACATTTTTTTTTCAACCTGAGCAGCACTCTGAGGTGACCTTTCTTTCTCCCCAAGGTCCGCATTGGCTCGCTTGACAGCCAACCTGCAAAAAAAGAGCTCACGCCCTGCCCAGCGGGGTCTGATATAGCTCTGGCAAGCAGAGGATGAACTGGCACTGTTCTCAGGTAAGAGCTTAGTTTTAGTATTTTCAGATTGCATCTGCAAAACACTGTACAGACCTGAATTAATTAAAGCCTATGACACCCCTGTGAGCTAAATTACTGAGCACAGAGCCCCATTAAAGGGAGTTCCCTGGGAGAGGTTGCTCTGGACAATAGAAAGATTATTTCTACCGGGGCCTGGAACAACATGTTCTCAGTGATATTATTAGCAGGGCTGAGCCAGGTCTATTACAAAGCCTGAATGAGGTAGGATATGTATTTCTGACAAAACTGAAGTAAATTGAGTAAAATTCCAGGCTGGCCATCTGGCCATACTAGAAACACCAGCACGTGTCAACTCATTCCCTGGAGGTCGATTCACAACTGGTGGAAACTGTTTCCCTCCTGTTCAGAGTCCCATTAAATGCTCCTCATGTCTGAGCAGGGGTGACAGAGGCAGTTAAGCTGCTCTCGGGACAGCCTGTTCCATCGTCACCAGTGGTGAAGAGCTCTTGGGTGAAGGTGACCAAGTTGCAAACCAGGGAGGGTCCTCCGTTAGGCTGAAATTTCCCTGTTTCAGTTCCTCCCGGCTTTCTCAGCCCAGGAAGGCTCGTATTTCTGCACAGAATAGCCCCCTTCAATTGAATTTGAACCTGGTTTTAACAAAGAAACTCCTCCCAGGGACTCTCCAAAGCCCAGCTGCTGTTGTTTCAAATTCATCTCTGAAGCTGAACCTGGCCCATGAGGCTTGGTTAGACAATTCCAGAAGCAGTTTAAAAAGAGAATTAAAAGCCATTTTAGGGCCTAACTACCCCAGATAGGAGAAGAAAAGGCTCCCCTCTGTGATGTGGGGAGCTCAGATGCCTTGGGTAAGGCTGTGGAGCCAGCTCTGGTTGCCTCAGCATGACTGACGGTCTTGCTCTGAAACCTACCCAGATGCTCTTTTTTAGTGCCAGGTGCTGTGAGAGCAGGGGTTCTCCATAACAACAAATAAAATCATCCTTCCTGCATCCTGGTTTTAACTTCTCTTTAAGTGACTATTCAGCACTCGCCGGTTCTCCATCACTTGGGTAAATTAAGCCTCTCACCTCTCCTCTGGAGGTCCCCCAACTCGAGCTGTGGGCTAATGTCCCTTTGCAGACCATGCCAGAGCAATCCCAGACGCGCTGCCCAGCAAGCGTTATTGCATTTTACAGACCCCGTAGCACTCTCTGATCTGCTTTTCTGCCAAATCTCACAAAGTTGTTCAAGCCACTTCCTGCTGCAGATGGAGCCGAGACCCCAGCGTGTGAGTGAAAGCAACTGAAATGCACTCGTATTCACTGACTGTTGCAAGGAAAATCCCTCTCAGTCAGGAAACAATAACAGCTTAAACCATTACAGCTGTTATAAAGCCTTGCCTGCGTCTGGCCTCCACCCTCCATTAGCTCTAGTTTTGTGAATGCAGCCAGAAATCGCCTTAACGGTGCAAAAAGCCTTGCAGTGCTCCTCGGGATAGCAAATACATGCACAGAGCCAATGTTTCTCAACGAGGTATTTCTACACAATTATCTAGTTAGAGCTGCACTTCCTTTTGAAAGAGGATGAGCACAGAGCATTGTGGATCCCATTACAAACATCCTCACTCCCAGACACTTACTTAAAAAAGCTCTTCAAACCTATAAGCAAAGAGCTCTTAGGCTTTCAAATATCTGCTAGCAACCTAGTTTCTTAATTGTAATGTTATTGTGGGAAATAAAGTGAAACGCTGGCAGAGGATGCGGTGTCAATACCAGCTATATTACCTTTATCAACAACTCTTCAATTTTCATTCAGGAACAAAAATAAAATCAAAGACAAAATTTTGAGCCCAGCTTGATTCTTGTTAGCATTTTTCAGTTCACATGCCTATCTTCAGATGTGAGTGGTCGAAGCTTGATACTTGAGAGTGTGAGAAACCAGAGCGGTGAGCTCGTTTTCTTTGGGTTATGGGTACCTCAGCAGAACTCACCCAGAAGCTAAGACTCAACCACACTAAATATTGCTTGACGCAGCTGATGCCAAAGAAAAACTGCACTACCAAGACTTCACCAATTGCAATAAAATCTACCAAACTGTCTTGTCCCTGAGTTATCTCTAATTTCCCTGCTGGTATTTTCATCCTCTCCATCTGGTGCTTTCAGCCTCCAAAGCTCCTTACCTTGCTCGGCACACAGGACTACCGCCAGCAGGGCAATCAGAAAAGCCTTCATGGTTGTTGTACCCTCAGAGCCTGAACAATGTGGGATGGTGCACTACGGTAAGGTTTTATACTGGGACCGCGTTTACTTTGACTTCCTTTGATTACAGTAATTTGAGGTTTGGGGAGTGACAGCACATAAGATGTGATCAGTGATGGGTGTGTTTGTGCGTAGGAACCTATTACAAGGCTCCAGGTAGCAATTTTTTTTTTACATATCATTCAGATCCAATCTTTTTTTCCAAGGCCTACTCCTGCTGACCATGTCTGCATTGCTAATTTGGGGAACAATTTATCTGATTCAAACATGGGAGTCCCTCCTTACTCTGTTGGGCTGAACCACGAAACCTGGAGCAAAGCAGAGGCAGCCGCGCCAGGCTGGGGTGGCTCATCGCTTGCAAGATAGTAGGTGTCACCTGGCATCCTCCATCCTTTCTCTCTGCCATGGATATGAGAGCTTCACATCTGTGGGAAGTGGGAGAGGAGGCAAAAAAGATTTTCGCTGGATTGTCCGTGGTCATTCAGCATTATCTCACTCGTACTAAGGAAAGTGCTTTAAGCAGAAACCCAGCTGGTATCATTCCTGCAATGGCACTATTTGTGCCTGAAGACTGTAACTCAGAGGCTCCCATGGTCCAGGCAGGGATGGGGTCCAATGCTTTTGTTTTGCTCTGCTTCTCTGTCCTCCAGAAGCATCCAGGGTTTCCAAGCGATGATGTTTGTTGCTACCTATAGACCAACTCTGGACTCTGTCAGGTTTTTCCAGTCCCTCATGACCTTGCCAGTCTATCTGGGCTCCCTCCTTCTGCTCCCACAACCACTTCATCACCTCTTGCCAAATGACTCAGGATGCAGCAGAGGCACAAAGTGCATGGAAACAGCTGCAGGAGTTAAACGACGAATGGGAGCAAAAATGACTGAGAAATAAAACAAGTCCTGGTCAAGAAGACATCTCAGCAGACCAGGACCCTTCATCTTTAGAGAGAGACATGATCAAGGGGAGCTCAGAGTCAAGGTTTGTAAGGTCACAAATGATGTGGAAACAGAATACAGAACATCCAGTTGCTCTTTGTTTTCCCCAAATTACTCCCCAAGGAGTTGGTTCATAGGCTCTTCCTCTGATCACCTGTCTGCAAGATCCTGGGCAGATGGCCCCATGCCCAACCCCTGTGATGAGTCTTTTGCTTCCAATCATTCTTCCTTTGCCCAGTTCTTCCTTTTCTACAGCAGCTTCAGCCCCCAACAATTTCTGTCTCTGCCTGTGCCCAGAGCAGGGTGGAGGGGATGAGCACCCAGTTTTCAAAGTCTTCCACTCTGTTCTCTGGATTTACCCTGACCTTGACCATGAATCTTTAATTGTCTCCACTTCTAGCAAGGATGTGAAAGACCCACGTGACACCTAATGTAGCAATTATACTTTGGAAGTAATCTTTGAAAAAGCCACACTCTCCAAACAAGACTTCTTATAAATACGTGCATGAACGACATCAGGCAGGAAACATGATCTGCTAGAGCCTTGGGGGGGGGGGAAATAGTAGGTATTAGTCTAGTAGGTATTAGTCTACATGTTTGTTTTACCTATAATAGCCAGGATTCTCTCATCCAGCTGGAGAAATGGAAAACAAAACTTCCTTCCCTCCCATCCACATCAGAAATCCAGAAATGAAACTGAATTACTGCACTGAATTCAGCTCTTCTTGGAGCCAACAGAGCAGAAAAATGCAGCTCCTTAGCAGGAAGAAGGGAGCAATGCATGAACACAGCCCACAATAAGAAAGAAGAAAGGCTTTAAAATTAAAACAAATAAATGAACAGTAAATAAATGACACTGTTAAAGCAAAGTGCAGCTGAATAGAAAATCTGCAAGTGAGAAATGGGCTGTAGGAAGTGGAAATGTGAGAAAGCATTTAAATAGATTAAAGAGAGGGAAGGTTAATAGTGATAAACAGGATTAATATTTCATCCAGAACTGGAAAGAGAGAAGGAGGGAGCTGAGAAATATTGGTGCAAAGCAAAATAAATCAAAGCAAACACACAAAGCTTGGGGGGAAATAATTAAAGACAGGCAAAGTGAGGGTAAGAAATAAGATGGAATGGGAAGTATCGACGCTTCACCATTTCTGCTATGGTGGCATTACTTAGCGCTGTGCAAAATGTACGTGTTGTTATGTGCAGACACTCTTCAGGTATTAACCACAGCCTTTCAGGGTCTGAGAAGCATTTTCTACAGCTCCCCAAATCCCAGTTTAACCAGCCACTGGAGTCAAACTCCAGGGTCTCCTGCAGAGCCTGGATGGGGAAAGCAACCAGGGCATCACCTGACCCCTATCCCTGTGTCCCCGAAGGAGAAGCCTGCAAAAGCTTTGGGACCCAGACTGGGGTCTGGCCAGGTCCCAAAAACACACTATTCTTGTGTGCTGTTGATATTGCAATCACGCCCAGGGCCACTGCAAGGGCTCTGGGCTCCAACCAGCACCACGGCGGTGGGGTGGGGGACGGGTGTCCTTTGAAACAGAGAGCAACCCTGTTTTTTCCAGCAAGGGGCGAAGAGAACTGGAAGAAAAGCCAGGGCAAAGACAACTGGGGTAGTGGGAAGTGCAGATGGTGTCAGGAGAACACAGCATGGAGGTGTTAAAATTATTTTCCCAGGGACATAAAAAAAAGAAAGGGGAGGGGAGCAGGGTGAATCTTGCTGCAGAAACTGGGCTAGGTGGGTGTTAACCCCATGGGTGCCACGAAGGGTATTAAACAGTTAACAGAGCCTGGGAGTTCTAAGGAAGAAACCTTAACCCACTTTGAACTTGGCAGCCATAGCGTGTGTTTGTGCCAGACCTTGGGAGCGCGTTGTGCAAGGCCTGTCCATTTTGTGTAATTGGAGCCAGACAATGCGTGTTTTCAACCCGTGGTGGAGCAAACTGCCAGGTCCGGGGACATTTTAATATCAACTCTCCCCACTTTCTCCCTTTTTCTTTCTGGAGGGTGGCTCCAATTGCAGCTCTCCTCCATGGTGCGGGGAGGAAAGTCTCCATTTCAGCTCAGAGTTGTAAACTGCAGCCTCAACAGGGAAAGGAGAGGCCATGGGACAAGGTGAGAAGGTGGCAGCCATGGGTAGTGCTCCCAGTATCCCTGAGTGGTGCAGATGGTGCATGCAGGGCAAGCGGTCCAGCCCAGCCCTGGATAGCATCAGTCTGAGCTGGTTGTGTCCTCTCCTCCTTCCCTGACAGGTCAGGGAAGGCTGGGTTGCTTCATCTGGCCATGCAATGGCAACAAGGTTAGGTGAAGGATCAGAAGGGGGGAGATCATGGCATCCAGAAACCCCAGGAAGAAAGGGAGACCTACTTGTGATATTTTGCCTTTTCCACTTAAGGCCTGACTGTTGCGGGCAGCGTGCTCTATTCTTCCCTTTCCCAAAGCACATCTGGGTCTGTAGCTGACCTGGTAGGCTCCAAACAACAGGGCAGAGCTCCTCAGGTCAGCCCCCGTGGCAGATGACAGAAGCTACCAAACCTCTAGCTAGGAAGGACAGGGGTAGCCCAGATTCATTGTGTCTGGCTGAAATACAAGGTGATCAAGGTAGACTTCCATCTCAGCATCACAGCTGTGACAGTCACCAGGAGCCTTGCTATCGGTCACAGTGGGTGAGGAACCTGAGTCCTTTGGGGCCACAACTACCAGCCACCAGAGAACCAAAGCCATTTTGTCACATTCGCTTAACCTCCAAGGTCCTAAGAGATAATTCAGTCCCATCAGGTTGGAGGCTCATGGGGAGATATCAAACATCACCATCATGCATGGAGTCAACCACCGTGATTCACATCCCTGCTAATGCCCTGACTGAAGGGTCAGATCCAGACTAGCTCACCAAACAGGGCACAAGCCCAGCCCCAACGCCATCAATGCCACTAGACCATCGCCATGGCTTGGGCACACCCCAACCAGCATTGTCTCAAATAGTGCCCTGACATAGGGCTGCTCCTTTGGCTGTAACCACCCTGTTTGTAGAGGAAAGAGACTTATGGATGTGAATCATCCTTCTTGGATCCAGGGCCAAGGTTTATTATTCTGTGGTGGCATCTCTGCAGCCAGAAGTGGGGGTATTGGAGACCTACAGGGTCTGAAGGAAAAAGGGCAGTGAAGAAGGATGGTTGAGAGAGAAAAACCCATTACCCACTTGGGATTCCCCCAAAAAAGTTAATGCCAGTCCTTGCCAAGGAGGACGCCACTGGCCACAACTGTGTTTGGGGAGAAATGATCCTCACAGGTTTATTTAAGTTTGTACTTGTAACACAGCTTAGCTGATAATTCCCACATCTGTCATTGCTTTTTCACTGGGAAGTGAGAATTTCCCTTGCCCAAGGTCCAACCCTCCTGATCCTCTTTCATAACACAAGCAGTCAACGTGCAGGCACTAAAATGGGACCATCCCCTCTGCTGCATGTTCACACTGGTCCTGACAAACGAGGCTCTGATCTTTCTTTGGAAATCTTGGGCTGTGATAGGCATCTGAATCATGCCAATACGAACGCTTATGAAAGGCCGATCAAAAGCTTTGCCATGGAAGATTTTGGCCAGCCTCTCCAAGAAGAAAAGTAGGTAACAGCTGTCATGTTTGTCTTCACAACTGTCTTTCTGATCATTGTGGGGTTTTTGTGTTTGTTTTGTGGGTTTTTTTTTAAATTAAACTTTATGATCCTGGAGTTACGTGGTGGTGTAGAGCAGTCATTTGAACCTGCCAGGCCAGTGATATGTGGGAGAAACTCATCTACAACACAGCTGTGGTAGCAGCTGGCCTTGTGAGAGCCTCCACAGCCATCCACAGGGACACCAAGAAAGCCTTAGTCTAGTCATCCATTTTACTTCTGTAAGAAATAAAATTTTCCATGTCTACACATTATATAGGGTAGCACACACGCCTTGCCCCGGAAGGCAAGGAAACAGTCATGGTTTCCAAAATAGCTCTTTTTTTTTTTTTTAATTTGCTTTAGGTTCTTGACTCATCTTTTGCATGATGGGTACTTCAGCCCTGGAAGTGATCC